TGCTGAACCTGACAGGAGACTGACTATTATATAATACAAATACACACATGTATATGTGTCCTAAATATACTTAAGATTGTAGTTAAACAATATTTGGTGTAATTCAACGTTTTTTTTATTTGCAAAATGCCTTTCGATACTCAAAACCCTACATCTCAATTTCATTTTCAGTATCATTATTATTATTGTTATTGTAATTGATGTTGTTGTTCGTTTTATTTACCAAGAACAGTGTCACCTCAACCTGTCTTGTTTTGATTAACTGTCACCAGACTAAACTCCTACTTTAGCTATCATTGAAATCAAATCATTCATGTAGTTATTTGTGTAAAGGTTTTGTTTGTTTGTTTGTTTTTTAACTCCCCCTGCTGAGCTTAGAGGTTCGTTGGTAGTGTAACAAAACACTAACTTGGAAAACAATCCTGCACGTTATCTACTTTCAAGGTTAGCGTGAGGCAGAAGCAGTTGATTTTTCAAGGCTGTGCGAATGAATGAACGTCAATGCACAGTACCAACAAAAACAGCTATAGGGTCTCGTTTGTGTGTTTTATGTGTCTGTGCTGGTGAGGGAGGAGGAGGAGGAGGGGGGGTCAGTTAAACCTAGTCTGATCTGGTTTTTAACCATTTGTTCAATGGTGTGCTCCAGCAGGAGAAGTACAGTGGCTCCTCCAGCAGCAGCAGTATGATGAAACTCCACTTGGAATTGCACCAAAGATGGCTGCTAGACTGAGAACGTACCGAAAATAAGTCTTTCAACTGCAAAGTGAATGCGAAACAGCAGGAGGGAGTAAAGAGCTGTTAATGCTGTCCCTTTAAATTCAATTAAACTTCATGGGGTCTCACGAGATGGCAACTGCACAACAACCCCCACCACAGCCACAGCCACAGCACCATCTCTCTGTCCTGAAAAAAAAACACACAACAACACGGAGTCCGCGCCTGATAACAATAGCATTAACCAATAACAACCACTGATTAATAACGCAGCAGAGAGGAGGAAGATGGACTTGGGACTGTCAGGACCTTTGGTCTCAGCCGCTTCTGTTCTCACTCCCGGCCAATCAAACGTGGCTTGCGTGGCTACACATTAACCTGCACTGTCCCCCCCTCCTCATCGTCATCTTTCTTCATCGTCAATATTAAACACATTAACAACTGTAAATGTGTGTATATATACCATGGTGGTCGCTGGGTAAGAACCACGCACCGTGTGACCGTTATGTATCTGCGACCCGACCCAGACCGGTCCAATCTGGAACAGGACTGGTGCTGGATGTGTCTCTCTGTGTGTTTGCACAAAGCGACAGAATCCGAAGCATAAAATGGAAATAAAATTTAAAAAACGCGCGTCACTTGAATGTGGCCTACAGACGCTAATTACTACCGTGTAAACATACGCGTCCAGATGTGCGCCCCAGATTCAACTAGTACCAGCCTGCCACATCCACACATCCAGCGGCGTCTGGTCTCACTCTCCCGCTCCTCAGACACACACACACATATTCAAACACGTCTATACAACATCAGGATTTTCCCATTCATACAGACAGGGTTTAATGCATTTTTTTCGAGGAAAACAACGACAAAATGGTCACGTTACTCACTGGGGTGTGCGCTCCGCTGCTCCGCACAAGAGGTGTCCCTGAAGGCTGCGACCAGTTAATTTTACAGCAGCTGCAGCAGCAGCGTCAGCACATTACACACACACACACGCATACACACATTACACATAAATCAGTGACACACAGGAAGCTGAGTGAGAAAGTAAAAGTCCTGACTTCTCACTGGGACAGGGAGTCTAACTGGAACAGCCCAGAGACCTGAACGCGGCTTACAGAGAAACCGGAGCTTTATTGTAAATGGTCTGTACTTTTAAAACAAAAACAAAAACTATGGATAGAGATTTCAAAAATACAAGATATTTAGACTATAAGAACAATCGCCACAAAACAAGGCTTTTATTTTTTAAAGCAAGACCAAACATCCGCTAATGTTGTGACAAAGTCTGCTTTGATTCGCAGGCAGTAAATCATTCGGTGGTAAAACTTTACAGTATTTCTATTAGGGGTGTTACAAGTCTGATTGCTCCACAGGTCAAAGTCCTTTAAGGATACACCATATGTATGAACTGGATGTTTATTTATTATACAATTATTATATAAATAGAAAGTGTGATTTGTAATGTCTAAATATCTGTGAATCTAATAATAAAAAAAAAACACGATAACATGCTGCAGAATCCTAGTCTGACAAAGGAGGAATTTAATAATAATAATTTTGACTTATTATATGAGGTTCAGTACTTTCGTTTTGTTCCAAGGTCGCTTGTTTTGAAGACTTTTTATCTTTCAAATGAGAAAAAACACTGTTAGTCATTTAATTTTTACTGTTATAGTGTCTAATGTGTCTCTTGTCTTTTTTGGCAATGGTAAAAATCTTACTACAAAACAAACTTGACTTTATATGCAGATTAAGTATTCTTCAAATTAAACGGTGGCCATTGTTTGTATTATAGTCAGCACATACTCAAGAGTAAACTTTGATGAATCATTGCTTGATTACTTTGATTCCTTAACTTGGTTTGAATTTCTCCTATAAATTATTTATAGTTTTTCGCTTTGTGGTTGTCCGGGTGATGATGGAAAAGTACTGATTATATTTAAAAATTAAATACGCTTAAATTGCTTTTTTTTTCTTTTTTTTCAATTTAATTAATTTAAATACGCTTAAATTGCTTTTTTTTCTTTTCTTTTTTTCTCAATTTAATTAAAGCTGTAAATAAGGTGATGTCTGCGAGAGATTATTCGGTTGTTTTTGATGTGTCTGATGCCATCTGGTGGTGACGCTGTGACCTGTTGGTGCAAAAAAAAAACAAAAAAAACACTGAAGCCATGTACTAAATATCCAAGCGTCATTTATCTTTATTTTGATTAGATGTAGCGGCAAAACAATGATGTGTCCCATAGGTTATCATTTGACTAGTATTGCCTGTGTGTACAAACTGCATTATGTGTGTTAAGTGACAGCACAGGGGAAGGAGAGCCACCTACAGTGAAACGCAATATAAAAAAGAACATGTATACTGTCAGTAGCATGTGATGGAAAGAAAATACAAAAGTGCAGAGATAACATATTCGTTTTACATCACACAATGAAGGGTTGTGCTTCAAATACAAAAATTAGAGTCCACGTTATATTTACTGCCACTGTTTATGCGTCATGCCAAGGGAGAGATGCAGGGTTTTCACTTTTCTATCATGTACGGTAACACACTCGTAAAACACTGTAACACAAAGATGACTCGCATTTGCTGTGATTCTCGGCAACAGTTGACTCAGTTTTCCTCACAAACCAGCGCGTGTGGTTACAGGTATTTTAATAATAGCAATAAAAACATGCACAAAGAGGAAAAAACGTTGAATAGTTGGTGGTCCTTGTGTCGTCTGATTCCATTTCTTTGTGAGAACAGCACACATTTTCTTTTCTGGGGATTGATAAAATAAAACCTCTGTGTGTTCTGCAGCCATTCTATTCTATGTATTGCTCTACAGAAAATAGTCTGGAGTACGTCGGGTAACATGAGGCTCCCCTCTGCGTGGTGCAGGATCAAACTGTAGGCTGGGGGAAAAAAAACACAGAATGACTCAGAAGATTACAATAATATTTAAATATTATGCCTCAAACTAGGCCGTCAAAGCAGGGTCAGTGACACGTGAATTTTTAACCGCTACTATAATAGATAATCACTGTGGCTCCTTTTAATTATTTTTCACATTATAACTTATCTGATACAATTAAGGTTTCACATTTTAATTAAAATTCGTGACATCACTTTGCACAGTCAGATCCCAAACATTGACATTGGGTAGAGGTCTGTAGTTTGTTCTGGCCAACTCGTGTGTGAAGATGCTGACTCATGCTCCTGGAACCTATCTGTTACAATCCACTGTAAGCCTTTTGAATTCCAAAGATTTCATAACACGGTACCTACGATCAAAAATAAAATAAAAATATTCTCCAGTCTTTTCACAAGCTCTCTGAGTTTACTTAACTGTACCTTTTCATTTAGTTTCATGGTTTTCATAAAGCTTTGCAGCTGTGTTTATTGTTCAGTGAATGTTGTGAAAATGCTATTTTCATACAGTAAGATCTTGGGCCATGATCAGTTATTAGTTTATCAGACATCACAAAGACAGAGCTTGATGGTTATCTTAACAAATCAGTGTATCAGAGTTTGTCTAAGAAAAAACACTTACAAGGAGTATTTCAGCGTATCATCAAGTTCCATGATGGCGGCCTGGTTTCCACAACGGTAGCAATAGTTTGGTGCACTGAAGATTGTCACTACATTGCGGTCGTGGCACCAGTTGTAACCCTAGATGAAGAGAATACACAAAGATAATCTTTTTTAACAACGTATGGTTGTTCAGAGAAATCCGGTACTAAAACATCTTGATACAAAGCTTGTACCTCCATCACAAGCTGGTGAGCTCGGGAGACCAAAGTTAGCCCATTTGCATGGTTGAAGGTCTCGGAAATGTCCTGCCCAAAGGTGTAACCAGCACCCCTGGGTGAAATACCCCAACCACCACGGTCATCTGGGTCTGACCATAACAGGTCACACATGGGACCCTAACAGACAGGAAACCAAATTGAAGCAAGATCTTTTAGAACCTTCACATTTCAACTGTACTTGTTATGATATTTTTATTCTCATATGGCAAAAAAAAATCACAATTTTCCACCAAAATAATCTTCTTTTCTGACTTCTCTAATCGACTTCCAAGGCCAGAAGCACTGGATATATTAAATGTATTTCATATTCAAGAATATAAACAGCGGAGTTCCCTAAGGTGTAGTGCTTGGTCCTGTTTAACTTACTTTATCAGTGCTCCCATTAGCTCAACTATTAGATAAACATGTGATGCCTTTACACCTTATACATACTGTATAAATATAAGATAGTAAAACATTTTGCTGTCGCAGTGACCTGCATACTACTAAGTACTAGATGGCAGCAAGAGTATTACCATTGAGAAACTGCTGTGTAGGTCACAGCCTGAATTTACCTCATGAGGGACCTCCTGCAAGCGATCCAGCGCTCTGATGTGTTCCAGTGTGTCTATTGAGGGCGATAATCCTCCGTGGAGGCAGAAAATCTTAGAGAAAGAAAGCGAATATAGAAAGACATGAATAATAGAGTCTCTGTGTGTACGACCTTGTTCTACCTGGCATTTACATCCACCCTGAGTAGTCTGACCGCAGCTGAACAGCTGTAAAAATGTCTAAATGCGCCAAACAATCGATGAACTCTTTGATTAAATCTTGTTTCGTGGAGTGGAATATAAGTAGTGCTGTGGTTTGAAAAAAGGTTTTTCTCTCAAGAGGCACACAAACAGCTAGACCGTCGACACATCTGCACAGGCAGATTTGAAGAAAATGACATTTTGTTCATCAGAACTCTCTGGTCTGTAAAGGGATGAAGTGCAATCAGACCATACAGGACAAATGTTAGCACTAGTTTTGAAATGAGCCTGCACTACAGTAGTAGATTTGGTCATTTAAAAACTCTTACCTGGTTATCTACTAATGCAGTAAGAGGCAGGTAGTCAAACAGATCTGTGAAGTACTTCCACACATTAGCATTTCCGTATTTTCTCAAACACTCGTCGTAGAAACCGTAGACCTGTGTGATCTGTCGGCTCTCGTGGTTTCCTCTCAAAATTGTGATTCTTTCACGAAAACGTACCTACGAAATAACACATACATGATAAAGCACTTGTGGTAATCAACTATGACATTGTTTATTAGATGCAACACATCATTCATGTTGCTACCATTAATACTACAGCTGTTTTGATTCAGATAAGAAATCACACCGGTTCAGACTCAAGCTCAAACTATGGTAGGAGTATCACTAGTGGTACAGATGCTCACTCAGGATGTTTGCTGTGAATTATGTGTGAGGATTTGAACTAAAATTATTCACCAGTTGAGATGCTAATTTGAAAAAAGAAAATCTGGCTATGGCTCAAAAATATGTTAAAAATAAAACCTGTGTTGTTTTATTTTAATGTTGCTTGAACTGGTGGTACTTGGAGAGAGAAATTTTCTTCACCTTCAGAGAAACCAAGAGGGAAACCGTTTCCACGGAATAGTAGCCTCTGTCCACATAGTCCCCCATGAAGAGGTAGTTGGTGTCTGGAGACTTCCCTCCGATCTTAAACAGCTCCATGAGGTCATGAAACTGACCGTGGACATCTCCACACACCGTCACTGGACATCTCACCTCCTGCACATTGGACTCCTTCGTCAGGATCTCCTTTGCCTGCAGGAAAGTACCAAGAAAACAACGGGGTGAAGCTTAAACGAAGCTGATGAGCAGGAGGCAACAGAGTGGTGGTGCAGTGGTGAAGTGGACAGTGTTGTAAACAAGCTGTGTTAAGAATAAACAATGGATTAATGATGGATACAGTAGAATGACATAAGGACTGCTAGTTTCGGAGGTGTCATTGCACCCTGGTGGTGAAGAGATATCCACAGGGTACAGTGGGTGTAGCAGAGGGAGAATATTATCATATCCCCTCCATCTTCCTGCAGAGTGAATTCCCATTGCAGTGTGCTGCATACAGCTGCAGTCAAATGGTGTTTGCGAGTGCGAGGCCACATGGTTTAAATGCATTTGCCCAGGGAATACATTAGATAACGCTCGCGAGCTGTGGTGCGACCTAAAGACTGGTGCGTCATGTGCGCAAGCCTTACCTTTTCGCACAGGACTTTGACCTGATTCTCACTGAGCTGTCTGCACTCGTTCAGCTGTTCGATCCATCCATCCAGCTCCTTGGTAAACGACTTGTCATCCATGCCTGGTCTGCCGTCAGCCGGGGAGCCGAGCTCCAGAAAAATATCTTGCTCTGTCGGTTATTTCCCTGCAGAATCCCTGGTCATTCGCAGTTTATGTCTATGTGTGTGTGTGTGTGTATATGTGTGTGTGTTCCGCTGTAAGTGATGCGTCAATGCTCTGCGCCCTAGCCCCTCACTGTGCTGATGATGGAGCACCAACGTGTCCAAGTTCACATGATACAGAAGTAATATGCGTTTCCTAAAACGACCAAGGACATAAGGACAGAGGACACAGATCACGGAGAGTGCGGATCCAGGGCGAGAATGAGCAACATATCACACCGACGTCATCGCACCGGCTGCGTGGTGTTGGACTGTGGTAAATATGTCTGCGCGGTGGAACAGCCGCCCCTCTGTTTGCTGTGCGCATTTATTATAAGGTTTGTGGTAATAACAAACTGAGATGGACTGAAATACTGTAGGTGAATATGAAGATTATTGTAAGGGCACAATCACGGCGTTTCACGATATTATGGTAATGTTTGTGTCATGTGTGACTGTACCAATGTTATAGTAATTCTATAGTTTCATTCTTTTAAACAATTTCTTGAAACCCTGGTTCAACTGGTGACTGGGATGTGATGAAATAAGAAATGGTCAGAAGACCACAGAGGGAAAAATAAGGTTGACCAGTTAGGAATAAACAAACAGTTAGAGAGACTATTTTAAGATGGTTGGTTTTTGTTAGGTTAGATTGCAGACATATATTTACAGTATATATAAAGAAAATAGGCCACCTATTTGTTCAGTTTAAGTCATGTTGACAATCTCGTGAAAAACATTTCTTCTTCAGAAATGTGTTTCATTCTTTGGTATGTGGAACATCAGATCTGTCCTAATCAATGTGAAATTGATCAGATTGACCAGAATAATGCTTCATTTCTGATATGTTGAAACATACCCCAAGACTATATCGATTAAATGTTCCAATTTCCAATTCTGGGTGCTAAATATTTTTGTGTCACTGAAGTTCAGGGATATCCCTTCAAGAGGCTGTGAGTCTGGTATTCATGCATTTTTAATAAAGCTGTATTTAACTGTGATGCACTCGCCATATTTGGTTTCAGGTAACAGTTGTGCAGTAGACATGGCTGATGATGAAGAGGAGGAGGAGGAAGAAGGAGATACAGGCACTTCAGGACATAGCGCCTAATGTAATGCATAAGGTTATACTTCAATATTCGAAATTGAGTATTAACATTTGAAGTCATTGTATCTATTTCTCAAATTCCATTTTAAGATGACATTAATTTAAAGTCACCAGATATAAACTCAAAGACCGATTCTACTGTACCCAAATGTTTCCAAATTGAATTTTATTTAATTAAAAATGTGTTTAATGGGACAAATTCCAGTATATTTTCGTTTGTATTGCTCTTTATTATGATTTAGACGTAAATTTAATTTTCTTATTTCAAGGGGAAAACCTTCCTCGCATAATATTTTGATTTAATATATGTAAATTATATGTACCTGTTGTTAGACAGTGCTACGAACGTCTTGAAACGTTCTTTATAATAGAACGGCTCTACCGGAAAACTACTTTACCTTCAACTGCGTCATATCCTGTCAAATAAACATGCGCATTGGCTTGACTCTTCTCTGGACAGCTGTAGGAGAAAATGGCAGCACACATGCTAGGACAGCAGGTGAGACTCTCAATGATTTTTATGTCTGTACATGTATTTGAGGCTACATTCTATTCGTGTTTCTATTGTTTAAATAGAACCTATTGTTTTTTACCAACCGGTTGTCCCAGAACTCACGGAATACTCTTTTAATGTTCATACTTGTCATTGCACTTGAATGACTGCTAACGTGTTAGCTTGGCCCCCAGCTTTACCGCTAACTCTGTCAAACGTAAATCGTGCAAATTAGGGGGTTATAGCCATCCCGCTGTATAGAATGTTTTCACTAAAGATCGTGTATTTTTTCCAGGTCCGTCAGTTAAGCACGACTGCGATCAGACCTGCAGCTAAGCTGATCAGGGTATGTTTTGTCAACCTTATGGGTCATGTCTTCAGATACCACCGACGAATGAAAAAGAGAGGTCTGTATTGATCATGCTTGTGTTTCATCCCAGCCTCCCATCCAGGTCTATGGAGTAGAGGGCCGCTATGCCACTGCTTTATTCTCTGCTGCCAGTAAGCAGAAGAAACTGGACCAAGTGGAGCAGGAGCTAGTGAAAGTCTCTGTAAGTCATGCATACACAACAGTTTGGTTTTCTAAAAGTACTTAAATTATTTCCTGTTTTTAGTCAAATTTACAAGGGCAAAGGTGAAAACTTTGAAATAGATATGAATATAATGGTATTGTCAAATTAGAAAGGAATAATGCACTGTCTTGAGAATGCACCATGGCTCTCCACTACATGAGGTGCCTGATGGGCAAGAGGAGACGGTGGCATTAGTGGAATTTATAAAAATATTTGGTTAAATGGCTTCTAAGTTTCATAAATGTAAATCACTTTGATTAAAATGGGGAGAAAATGACAATGAGCAATTTGATTTATACAATGACTTATTGTAATTTTATGAAGGGCAAACAGAGTAGTAAAGGATGTCTTTGAAAATTATGTGGTAGAAAATGGGAATGTGCAAATGTTTTTCCTTTTTTTTTTTAAGGGAATAGCATTGTTTTCAGAAGAGTATAATTTGTAGTCGGGATAAAACAAAATTGAGAATCTCACTAACCTATCCTATTTTATAACAAACAAATAATAAATCTGACAAACCTATCCTATTTTATAACAAACAAATAAATAATAAATCTGACAAGTATGGCAGTAAACAAAGATGATTAATAAAGTTGCACAGATTTTTCTCAATGAGTAAATGTGATCATAGCTCTAAAAGAAACCAATTAATATGTCATTAATGTTGTGTTCAGTATTTTGCATGTGTTTATTTCACCCTGTTAAAAATAAAATGGTACAATGGGAATTAAGGAAAATGTGACGTGCTGTTCACCATGCCTTAAAATGTCAACATCCCCAAGTGTTTTATTTAATCCACAGACAGAGATTTTTGATATTACTGTCACAAAACACACTATCTTGTTTTTCAGGCAATGATCAAGGACCCCAAAATGTCCAGTATTGTATTGGATCCTCATATAAAGCGCAACATCAAGATGAAGACCGTCAGTGATGCTCTTACAAAGGCTAAGGCTTCACCCATCACACTCAACCTCATGAGTGAGTGGACACAGACTGGATTAAATTTACCAATAATTACCAAGTCTATAGCAATTTTGGCATAGGGTTTTTTTTTAATGTATTTTCTAACCACTTACCAAGGAAGCATGTCAATCATGTGAGCCTTTAATACACATTTGAACATGGTTAATAAGAGCATTTCTAACTTTGTTATTCAGATTTAATCACCTGGATTTTTGCTTCATATCTCGGGGTTTCATTAACGAACGTTGCATCATTTGCTTTACAGATGTTTTGGCTGAAAATGGTCGTCTCAATATCACTGGTGAAGTCATCGCTGCTTTTGGCAAAATGATGAGTTCTCATCGTGGGGAGGTCCTCTGCTCAGTCACTACTGCTCAGGTGTGAAGTGGATTAATATGCAGCTTATTTTTCAGTATTTATTTTGCAGATACTGACTTTTTAAAATTACTACTTGTCCATTTCAGCCTTTGGATCAAGCTAATCTCGCTGAGCTGAAGTTGGCTCTCAATGGATTTCTCCAGAAGGGTGAAACTATCAAGCTGAAAATAAAGGTACTGTGCAAATACATCAGATGCTGACACATGATCAAATTAGTATTTTCGGTTTCTGCAATGACAATAATTGTGTTAATTCACAGTCGGATCCTTCCATCCTTGGTGGTATGATCGTCAGTATCGGGGACAGGTATGTGGACATGTCCACCAAAACAAAGATTCAGAAGCTCTCCAAGCTCATCAGGGAGACTTAAGTCCTGTGGACTTAACTTTGCAGAAGATCAGATCTATCTGTGGGGGAAAAAGCTGAAAATGTAAAATTGCTACCTGTTCTAGCATTTGCTCCATAAATCCAGTGTCTGTGCTTGAGTTCTTATTGATGTTAATAAAAATAAACCACAACACAGTTTGGTCTGTTTTTGTTGTAACAACGAGTTTTGTTTTTTATATATATTGCTGCAAGATAAGGATTATATTTACATTACATTTAGATGTTACAAGCACCCTGTCATCATCCATACTGGGCCTATTGTGCCTGCTGCTCTAATACAAGGACAAATGATGAAAGGTCAGGTGATCAGTTGTTTCTGCCAACCTGCTACCTTGCTTTATACTAGCCAACTCAAAAAATAAAGCTGCAGGCCAAAGCACCTCCCTGGACATTTTCCAAATGATGTAGCTTCTGCCCAGACTCTGCCATATCAAATTAATAGCCTTCATTGAAATACTGACAAGAAGACTAAATATAAAGTGATAAACTGTCAAAAAGCAAATATCAAGTATACAGCTGAGACGGTTCCATGAAAGAAATATGTTCCTCTTGTTACAAATGTCCAGCAAGAATTAAAAAACAAAAAGTTTCCAGAAACTATATATTTCTTTTGCTCTTATTCCTGAACTTTGAGGACAGTGACCATTGACCATGTCTACATGCCTAAATGCACTGAGTTGCCGCCATGTGATTGGCTGATTAGAAATTAAGTGTTAACGAGCAGTTGGATAGGTGTACCTAATAAAGTGGCCGGTGAGTGTATATGATATTGGTAAAGGAAAGAAAGAATCCAACGGCCGATTCAACTCCTGTCGCCAGTTACTGTCACACTACAAAGGATCAAAGATTTGTTTGTTTGTTTGTCGTTCCATGTCTTCTGGAATTTACTCACATTTTATCGTCATTCCAAAAGTGTTAAATTCGGAGTACGTGTAAATGTATCGCGACATATTTATGCTTTTAAACACGTTTTTTGCATGATATTTTAGGTTATATGGAAACCTTTCTGCGCATGCGTGTTGAGCGCGTCCTGTTTTATTATTTAATTTTTTTGCGAGGATGAAAATGGCTGCCTTTCTCATCTAGAGGTCTGCAACAATTCTGAAATGAGCATTATTTGAGCTGTTGGGAAAGCGCCCTTCTGTCAGGACAGTTCTGCCTTGTGACGGAACGAAATCTGTTCTGCGGCTAAAGAAGATGTTGTTGCCAGAGAAGATAAATGTACACGGTTACAAATTAACCCTTTCTTGCCCGACGTCCAACAACAACTGAGGTACGGAGCAAGGCCTTTTACATTTTTACGTTAGTCATTTTTACGTCTTTGTGCATCGTGTGAATTCCAAACGTTTTGTCGTAATTCATTTTTTGTGAGGTAGCTCTTCTGTTAGCGTTGCTTATGTTTTCGTGTTGCAACAGTAAAAGGCCTGTTTGTTTCATTTAGCTTAACTATGTGGATATGTAAGATTAGCACTGGGAATGTAATACGACAGTTGCTACTTACTGCAAATATTGACTCGTGAAAGTGCACCATTGCGCTAAATTTTTTTTGTTTTATCAGGATAAATGGTCAGTTACGGCTCCTCCCTTCGTTTTCACACTAAGTTTCCATAAGAAAGTCCAACATGGAGAGGAAGTTTCTCTATATCAAATTATTGAAATGTGTTTGGGTAGGTTGCTGTATTCATGATGAGATATATTGAGTTGTAAACATTGACACATCAGATCAGACACTATACTACACTACAATTCAGTTTCCTCAGCTCATTGATTACTGTAACACTTTTCACCATTCACAAAGTATATTTATTTTCTAAATCTTTTGTTATATGCACTTCTGTAGAAAATGATGCACCAAGTGACCAGCGGCACCAGTGACTATTGTTTGAGCGGACTGACTGAGGACTGTCATCCAGCCGGACACTTCGACCTGTGTAGCATGCCATCCAACAAATTCTACCCCAATGTCACAAACCCAGGGTTGCAACTGTCTCTGGCTGGCCTTGGCCCTTTGCCACAGGCCATGCACAAAGCCATGGCCTGCCAAGTACAAGACACCCAGATCAGTTTCCAGAATCAATCTGTAAGAATCAGGGACAATGAGGCTACAGGGTCCGACAGCTCTAAAAAGAAAAAGGGCACAGCAAAGTCTGGGAGGAGAGGGAGACCGTCAGGCACCACAAAGTCAGCTGGTTATCGTACAAGTACTGGACGACCACTTGGAACTACCAAAGCAGCTGGGTTCAAAACCAGCCCAGGGAGGCCTCTTGGTACCACCAAAGCAGCAGGATACAAGGTCAGTCCTGGTAGACCCCCCGGAAGTATTAAGAGTCTAGCACGGCTCAAGAAGCTGGAGTTTGGCTGTGACAATGCCAAGAAATTTGACTTCAGTAGCTGCAGTGCTCCCAAAGCACTGGACTTCACTGCATGTAATGTTCCACCGTTTCCATACGGCATGTTGGAGAAGAGAGACTTCTGTGAGTCCAGTAGCAAAGAGGATGAGACCAGAGAATAGTCACATGTTTGTTTTGGGGTTTTTTATGATTGGATGCAATAGCACCTCCTTTATACTGTTTTAAAAATATAACTTAAATCTACAAATGTCTGACTTTTTTTTTACCATAAACTGAATATAAGCATTCAACATAGTGTTCCTGTTACAAACTAAATTGTCATTGTAAACGTTGTCTTTAGAAAGGGACCCACATCTCTCTGTTTGATATTATTTTGTTGCCTATAACTAAGGCTTTAACCATTAGCTACATCTGGTGTTGTTGTTGTTAAACAATGTTGTACATGTCATTGTCTATTTTCTTTCAAACTCCATCAGTTACATTGTGCTCTATTGAACCCAAAACTGGCAAATGACACCATTATCTTGACTACTTAATTCTTAATAAGATCAAAATTAGGTGAGGAGTGAATTTCTTGTGAAATTCTCCCCCTGGTGGTTTGATTTGATCTTCTTGGGCTTTACTTAACGGAACAGGGTGCATCCTTATCCTACTCGTGGTCCTTTATGTTCACTCTACATTGATTACTGTGTTATTCTTAATGCAAACAAATATAAATCACATATTTTGTGTTAATACGTATTTGTCAGACTGTGGTACAAACTTCCATGTCCAGCAGAACTTTTATTACCTTTGACCATGTCATTTTTCTAAATCCTGTAATTGGAATAATTTCTTTTTGCTACTATACTTTTGTAACATTTTTAAGTTGTATTAAAAAGGTCACTTTAGTTCTGTTCAGTTTAATGCAGTCATTACCTATACATGAACGTGTGAATATATGTAACTGTCCTTTTCTGTGTAAATGTCCTCATTTATCTATCACTCCCAAAAGAGGAACATTTTACCATTTGATTGTTTGAAAAACAACAAGCTTTTCCGTATTATTTATATCGGCACTTTGTCTGTTTAGGTTTTGCCTGTTTTGTTCTTGACAAGCACTTCTAGTTTTAGTTGTAGCTAAGCTATTCATTTTTGTTTAATACTAAATGAAACAAGGGAAAATGTTTGTGAAAAATGTGATGTTTGCTGATGTGGTGTATGTACAACTAAAATAAAGAAGAAGAAAAAGCTTTTTTCTCAACAAATCCACTGGTAAGTCTGTCTGGATTCTCTTTCCTCCATGTAACACAGTGAGAACAGTAGGAATTGGACCTGATGTTCTGTTGATTATTTTTTACCACTTTGATGAAACCTCTGATTCTTGATACATATGTTTAAATAACGCTTGTAGGTTCAGGAGTGCTGTTGTGAATTCCACTGTAACACGAGTTACCTGTGTGCTAATATTTGTTTTCAACTGTGTGGTAGCCATCACTTATCATTTTAATGATAGCTTGTGACTTGTGTTGCTGAAGTGTTGTGTTGCCTCCAGCTTACATCCATCCAAAAACTACACTAGCATTTATCATACACACAGATTTGGTTGGTCCATCATTTAAAGTTTTTTTTATAATAATAATAATAATAATAATATGTATATAAATATAATAATATGTAAAACCTGCTTATTCTGTCAACCACTGGCATAGGTCAGTCTTATAAATCTGATCCACGATACGTTTTTTAGCTTCACAAAAATAAAAACACACCCAAGATCAACGCCCATTTAATATCAGCTGACAGCAATGGGTAATAAAAACGATAAACACAAAAGAGTATTTTCTGACAGATAGGGGTAAGAGGTAAGCTATGTAATATTCGATCTAATCTAAAAATGTGGACTTAAATAAATATCACGGGCCTTTAATTTGACTTGAAGTCCGTTTAAATCATATTTAATAGTTAAAGACCGCGTTGTAATTCCCCCTGTAGACACTAGAGGGCCGCTATTCCGGGACAATGGGAGTCACCTTTGTATTACAGCAATACCTTTGTTTCCCCATTGTAAAAGTCATTTATGCGCACTCACATTTAGGTTTAAACAGAAAACTTGATTTATCAGACTGCAATTCCCAAAATAGTTATATGGTCTGCTTGAACACACACATAAAAGTCGAACGTGTCTTTTTTCAATGCCCCACTCTCTTTTAAGCAAATTAAAATGAACCGTTTTGGACAGACAGCGTTGCTTGTAAACAAAAACGCAACAGCAGACGAGGGTGAGTTCCCGTGCTCTGAGTCGACATATGAAAACTGGACGTTCTTTGTGTAGTCTCCGGGATCTGGCCCGCTGCTGCCACTCTGTTGTGCACTATAAACGTCTGCGCCTTCGCGGTTGTTTTTTTATTTTTTTTATGAGGTTGGCATCAAACCCTCAATATGGGTAACGTATGATATGCTGCAGTTAATTTGAATCGAAACTAAGCCGAAGTCGCTATTAAGCTCTTATTGGGGCATTCTCTCCTCCGTGTTCCTGAAGCGCCGTCGGCCTGTTTCTGTGTGTGTGAGTGTGGAGACAGAGAGGCAACAACATGGCGCACGGTTCGCTTTAGGCCGCGGAGCAGCACTTAGTGGCGCACTGCCTTCATTTTGTTTTCTAGGTCTCCACGTCGCGACCCACTCAAACACAAATCGGGCCTGTCTGTGCGTGTCAAAAGACAGCGTTTGGCAGATGATGACCACACATAGGCAGGTCAACTATAAATTGGTAATTACATTGTATTATGACTACTATAAATGATTATACGTGAAAAGGAAAGTTCACCTGGATATTAGAAAAAAAATGTGCGTATTTCAGTGTGCTGTGCGTGTGCGTGATGAGGGTGAGTGTGTCACGGCCCTCTGCTGCTGCTGCTGCTGGTGTTGCTGCAGACGGGGGGTTGGGAGCAGAGCCGATTGGTTGCTGCTCACCAACACAGTCAGTCTGGGCTTGTTTTAACATTAACCGGGGGCACATCGACAGCAGGCAAAACCATGTAGTAAATAAGCCGCTGTGGCTGCTGGGGACCGGCCATGGTACACTGAATCTCGCCGCTGTCAAGTTGCAGCTTAATGTATTTTTTTGTACTTTCGTATTTTTAGTGACAGTGTTTTTTCTATCGTCAGAGGGCCGCCGCTGATGAGGCGATGAAGTGCAGAGAATGAGAGCGGCTCCTTGGCCTGCTAGTGCTGACTGCTGCAGCCGGGATTTTGCAGATCCGCTTTCACAAAGCGAGAAAAGCCCTCGCTCAGTGGCACAGTGTCAAACAGCCGCTGTTGCTTTTACGGTGACCGACCTCCAAATGGTGAGTTTCTGGCGTTTCCCCCCACGTGTTGATAGTGTGGTGAACTTAGTGGCGATCAGGGGTTTTGTGTCAGTGTATGTGTGAGTCAGTAGCAGCAAGAACCTCTTCCTCTGTCTGTGCGCGGCCGAAGCCTATTTGTTGTGTGAGACACTCACTGAGCCTCTCACTGATGGCCAAGTGTCACGGCTACTATCGGGCAAAGCCACGACAGAAGTGGGTGAACCACACGACCCACGGCCACGGTACACGTCGGCTGTGTTGGCTTATAGTTTGTGAATGAAAACGTGTGGAGATTGATCTGTTCTTTACCAGACCGGCCTGTAGTTTGGAGGCCATGCTGTATGTGTGTGTGTGTGTACACAAGCAGCCCCATGCTGTGTACTGTCTAACAAAAAGCCAGGTTTGACCCAGTCCAGTCCGGCTCCAAAGTGTATTACATAGTAAAGCTCGGTTATGGAGGTGTGGCTAGGTAAAGTCAGGTTTAAGGCATTCGGAAAAATGACAAGTCCAGGCAAGGGCTGGATAATGTCGAAAGAAAAAAAGGAAATCGTAATGAATGGTATTTTAGAAATTAGTTTAGTGAAGGGATATGACGTGTAATGGGTTATAAATAAGGTACAAGACCTTCGTGGTTCATTTTCTAAGCAGTTGTTTTCAAATGGTTAAATCTTGCTATTTGAAGTTGCCATATTTAAATAAATTCACAGATCTGTGTCGGGCTAAGTGGAAGTTTTGTATATCAACTTCCACTGAGGAATTAAAATAAATGTGGCAACAGTCAAGTGTTGCCAAAGTCAAAGTGGGGTGGAGCTTTTAACCTAGCAGGACTTTATCAACAACTCTCTAGACTTTAAAAGCAAAGATAAGAAACCATAATCTTAATCTCCTTATTTTATGGTATAAATTGCAGCATCTCATATTTGCTGATATCTTGATGATAAAATTAATTTTGGCAAATATAGATGGAGGAAGACAAGAGGTAAGAGATACAGCCCGTGGAATTCTTCAGCCTCGGTTTTTTATCTCAGCAGAGATCAAGGTACTGTAGCTGCACAGAATAAATCTATAAATCTCCATATGGACATTAGAGGCTTACGTAAGACAAAATAGCTGCAGAAACCTTGGGCGGTTTGATTTATACCTCTTGGATCTGTTGGCCACACAGCGGCTGAGGTTGTTTTATGCGAATGTCAATATGTCTAGTTGTTATAGCTATGCTATAAGGCCACACATCTGCCATAAGTTACAAAGTAAAACTTTATAGGTTCACATCACTTATCTAATCTCTTTTTTTGTTGTTTGTTTTTTTAACTTTGACAGGATATAATCATGACAACATGAATCAGTCATACAGTCAGGCTGTTAGGGGTTCAGTGTTTGGCCCCGGCCAGTCAGAGCTGAGGCCCCACAATGGCCACGTGAGCACCTCCTACGGAAACCAGTGTGGCATCGGGAAGCGTGGTTCGGAGCAACTGTCGTCTTCCAGCCTCAAGCCGCCAAGTTCGCTGGGATACAACCAGCCAGAACGGACACTCTGCTACAGTCCTCAGAGGAGGCTGCAGGACCTGAACACTGTGGTCAACAGGTCTGTCTTAGACAGAGACGTTCCTCCAAGTAGCTATTTGCATTGTGTGAGCCCTAACAGTGACGATGATGATGATGAGTTTGAGGCACCCTCAGTCCAACTGCCTCCTTCTCCAGGCAATAACAGT